GCTTCTTGCGCGAAAGCGAGATGTCCATCGAGTGCCTACTTGACGGCCACATTGAGTCGTTAAGAGCACAGCAAGAAACTCCAAGAGATGGGAGTGACTGGAGACTTGGAAAATCCCGAATGGCTCAAAAGCATTCGTTTCGCAATCATGAAGATGTTCGTTGCAGCGCAACTCTACAGGCAACAAGAACCTGCTCGTGTCTTGTGGATTCTTGAACCATATACCTGTCCCTTTCGAAGGCACTGGAGTCCACGATCATCTCGCATGGAATGCAGTCATCCCGGAACTGGTTGAAAGATTTAGCTATATTTAGCTAAGCCTCCCGGGCGTCGAGGCCATACCCTCAGAACCTCCAGACTGCAAAGGAAGTCGAGGTGCTGGCTGTCACTGCGCTCGCAGCAGAGTTCTCGGATGTTCTCGGCAGGCGGTTTTGCGTGACCGGGGCGTGGTGCCAGCGACGATCGGCATTTTGAAGGGACGCGTGCATGCCGTGTCCCCTACCTCTCTTTGAGCATGTCATGAGCTTGTGCCACAGTTTGAGGTCGGTATGGATCCTGGGCAACTTGAGGACAGCCTTTTGATGCAGCTTCCATTCATACGGATTTACTGACTCTTTCACCGCAGGCTCTGGCAAAGCTCGGCTTGGAATGCCGGAAGGTTTTTGGAGAGCAGTGGTAGGGTCCAGTCAGTCAGTATTGCTCTCAGGTAAGTCGGAGAGACATTGCCGCTGTTCTGGCCAAGGGTCAGGAGACCAGCACAGCATTTGATTGGGGTACATCCCTCTTCGAAGCAGGATGGTGCAACCACGGTCTCCGCAACCATGATTTTCGCCGACAAGGATCGGGTGCATCGGTTGAGTCGCTTCATTCCCAAATTCTGGACACTGAGACGATCTGCCGAGAGGCCGGCATACCGATTTTTGTCACCGGGGGGATCGGTGGAGTACATCGTGGGGCAGATGCTACCTGGGATGCCGGACACCAACTTTCTCTGGCAACCATGTTGCCGGTGCGCCAATCCCTCCAGGTCTCAGCCGACCTTACAGAGCTTGGGCGTGAGCCATAGATAGCCGCAGCAAAACACCTCTGACTTCCTTGGAGCTTGTTTCGCCGAACGAAGGCGGACCGCTGTTTGTGTTGTCTGCGCGGGCGCAAAAAGCATACTGGATCTTCCGAGGACCTGCTGTCCTTTCGAAGCCGTCGAATATCTCATGCTATAGTTGCCAGTGTGTTGCAGGACTCTCGAATTCCTGGAGACGTTCTGCCGGCAAGTTTATGCGTGCAGCAACGGGAAGCTTCGTGCATAGATTGGCAACGAGGCAAGGTGTTTGTGTCCTGCCCTCAGCAGATCTCAGGTGAAGGGCATCAGCTGCTTCCGCCTGAGGTTGCTGGTTACAGGACCAGTGACTTTCCGGCCTTCTTCACGCCGGTCGCCGAGTGACGAGTCACCGAGCGGGGGCATTCGAGTCACTCGAGGCCCCGGAGTGGCCTGGCAACCAGCTGCAGCAGCTGACCCAGTCTGCTGTGCGGCTGGAGGGGTCATCAGCTCTTTGCCAAGAACATTGCAACATATTGCAACACATGTTCCGGCTGACCTCCTTGACAAGACCTGATCGCAGCTGCCCTACGCAAGGTGTTGATGGTCCAGAAGAGGCTCTCTCCTGCAGCAGTCGTGAAATGGAGGTGTGTTCCCGTCCTCGGCCATTCTCGAAAGGCTGCAGAAGTCTTGGCGCAGCAGCGGCAGGCATGTCTTGGCTCCGCTCGACTCTGAAGTACGGGGCGGGGCAATGTCATCCCATTTCCTGTTTACCGAGAGACCACCGAGGGCATGGTGCTGGCTGTGCCGGTGCCTGAAAGCCTGGCTGCGGAGGGTGCCAGGGTGGAGGAGGCAACGAGGCGCGGAGAGCGACGCGACGCAGGTCATGTCGGCATGTTGTATCGGTGCTGCAACTACGAGCCTTTCATGTCCTAGCATAAACGTCGCAGTTACTTCAGATTGTCAGGAACCTTGTGCGTCTTGAGAATTACTGCATTTGCAGGAGTGTCCCCAGGAGTGTTCGGCTGACGTCATGGTGACCGTTGAAGCACTCTTGGGGGGCACTCGCACGCACCTGATAAGATCGCAAGCGATGGTGTAGTTGTCCGAAGATAAATATGATCTGCTCGGAGAGGTCCACGTTGAGTCAGGTTGCGACTGTGAGTGGATTCCTCGCACTTGCTTCAGCAACTGGAAGACTGTACTGAACCAGGTGACAAGATCGTAGTTCTGCCAGATGTTTAAACTCCGGAAACGGAGAAGTAATCACCTCATAGGAGTTGCCTTCGTAGACTGTTGGGAAGAGGTGGCAGAGCGAGTGCGTGTTCTGCCCTGGGAGTGTGAGCGCATCCAGTTGGTCATTGCGCGGCACTCGGTCTGGTCAATTGGATGTATCCAGGACTGCAGTGGAGGAGAGCACAAAGCTTGACATCCGTGGGAACGAGGCTTGGTAGTGGCAGCCGACAGCCCTCAACTGGAATGAAGTCTGACAGCAGGTCACACCCTTCTTACTCAAGCGAATTAACGAGCTCACGGGTGGGGAGTGCATACCTTAGGCCCTTAGGCTTGCGGCATTATGAAGTCAAAGCGCATCGTGAAACATCGACCTGCTCCGCAGCCACGATCAGGTCGCTGCGCTCCAACATAGCTCTGATCAAACACAATGCCGAGGCTCGGACAGAGGTGCTACTTTGCTTGAGAGTTGAATGGAATGTTGGGCATCCCTGTGAGTCACGCAGCGGCTTTGCCGCTGTTCGAGGTCGGAGCTGCTGTGGCGCTGGAGCTTGCGAAGCGAACGCGCCGTGCCTCCCGACTGTGAAGGAGGGGTGCCAGTGCCCCTCTTCCGGAAAAAAGAAAGCGGCGCGTTTTGGACGAGATGCTTGCGAGATGTTGCGTCCTTGCCCTGTTTGAGTGGACGTCTCTTCGCGCTGTCGGGACGGGCTGCGACCTCTGTCGGGTCGTGGGGGGCACTTGCTTGAAAGGACCGCTGATTCGCCCGTGCGATCACGAGAGGACTTCGTTGTCCTGCCCCGCCGTCTCAGCATCGTATATGCCTTTTCAGCAACGCCCTCAACACATAATCAAGCAATGCGATGGCGCGGATGAGCTGCCATGTAAGTATATGGTGTATGCATGTCAGAAATCCATAGATCCTGTCGTAGTTCGGTGCAGCCTTTGTGCCCAAACAGAGGCAGTTGTACACTTATCAGCGCCGATTTTCATTGTCTGCAGCACAAGTTGTTCCAACATGCATGCAAAGAATGCAATCGCTTTCCATGTACCACAATGCATTTCCAATGTAACAGTAATTTAGCGCACATCTGATCCGAAATTTAGACTGCTGTTGCCTCGTCATGATAGGTCCCTATAGGTCACGCAGCAGCTGAGCACGGAGCAGAAGAACATGTCTAGTTTGGGAGCTTGCAGAGCCCAGATTCGGTCTCTGCATGCCTGAACAGCACCAGACAAGGCCTCTTTTTCGGAGCTCCCGCAAAGCTCCACAGAGCTCTGCATCTTAGGGCCACGCTGCCCGCTGCCGAAGGTATGGAGGGGAGCATGTCAATGCAATCTCTCTCGGCTCCGAAGGACTGCTTATATGCTCAGATGTAGCTCGAAGGAAGACAAGTCCACAGAATCTGCCAGGAGGACTCGCAAGATGACTCGGGTGAGAGCGTTGCAAACTCAGCTCTGACGTTTCGGGGGAGCGCTCCTTGTAGCCCAGTCAGAAGCCAGTCTGGGCCGCAGCGCACAACAGCTGCTGCGATGATTGACGGCATAACATGGCTTAACCGGTGGGAGGTTCAAGGCTTCAAGATTCTTCATACTGCGCGAAAGAAGACGTCGGCTTCAAGCATGGGTTAGAGGTGTGGAATTTGTGGCAACTCAGTCTGTCGGTCTGGGCAGTCGGGCTCGTTCGGTGATAGCTTTGGAAGCATGCGGCCAAGATCCGGGTTCACGTCCGCGTGCGGCCACCAACCGAGCGCGAGATTGCAGTTGGGAGCGCGCAGGCGCTGCTGTAGGAGCCGTAGGGCCCGTATGATGGAGATCTTGCGCGTCGTGCGTCCTCTGGCTTCCAGCGACTGCGCAGGCAGTCTTTGTGGACAAAAGCTCTGTCATCATCAAGTCTGACCCGCCCAGGCCACCGAGTAAAGGACGAAGCTCTCTTCAGTCTGAGTGCTCCGAGGAGCTTCGCTTTCGATGGTGTTCTTGGAGAGTCCTCCACCCAGCAGGACCCGCGGCCGGCGAACGCTTGGGAAAGCTTTTATTAGATCTGCCGTTCTGTCGAGGACGTTTTCGAATCTCTGGGAAGGATGGTCGGACCCCCGGAATTTAACACGATCCTATTGTCTGCACACCGGGGTCTAGAGGTTGGCTCCAGCTGCCTAGCCGGCTACAATGGGCAGGGAACCCGAAGATGCAGCAGAACTGTGCGATCTCCTCGACCGTTTCACCTTCCAGTCCTGGTTATTCGTTTCGCCGACAGACGAAAGACAGCCAAGTTATCTGTTGATCCAGGAGTGTTTACGTTTACGGACAAACGGGGGCTGGCAAGACGCATACAATGTGTCTCCCTTAGCTTTCAGCCCTGGTCGCAGCATCGCATCTAGCCCGAAGTGGGATTTGATGAGGTGTGGTCCAATAACATCTGTGCAGTCCATGCAGCTCGGGACTCAGCCGATGGTTTAAAGTTCCGGCATGACTTGCCAGCTTCCCAAGGTTCGACGAGCGCCGCGGCATCATCTGCCGAATGCTCGATTACGTGTTCTCTGAGGACGGTTTTGATTACCGGGACTGGGCAGATGGAATACTCGTACTGACTCGTACTGGAACTTCCGAAGTCCTTGTCTGAACATCCCTGAGCAGGTTGCAAGAAGAGGGACGGAAGACCCAGGGGTCGAGCATTCCTGCTTCACTCCTGGCAGAATTTCATCGTCTCAAGCTTTTTGCAAAAACTTGTTGCCACCGACTGTCTTGAGGCAGATGCTCCTTCCTCGAGATCTACAAGGAGCAACGTGTCTGCGTTTTTGCGTGTCTATGTAAGCAGTTCGTCTCCGGTCTCGCAGGAACAGGTCACAGACCTCCTGGCTGGCAGCTTATGCTGCTTTCTGTCTTCGGATCTTGTGGCCGAAACAGGGAGATCGAACGCCGAAGAAAAGAGCTGCAGGCCTTCAGGCCCCAGGCTCACTTTGACACACAAATTGCAGCTGACTAGAGCAAGGAAAACCATCGGTAGAGTGGATGGAGGCCCCTGAAGTGTTGATGCCTGGCACTGCCCAGGAGCCGGCCAACACCAACTTGCAAGTGCGGGAGGACACGGTCAAGCGAATACTGTTTCGAGCTCGCTGTCGCCAGCATATACTTCATGACGAAAATACAACAACTAGCCTCGGCAGAGCTTATGCACGAACCCATGGCGAGGACATGAACCGCGGGGTGTACGTGGAGAGGCTGAGTGAAGTCACTGTGGGTTCTCTGACAGAAGCCTTTCAGGCCGGGCACAAGCGCAGCCGCTGTCCAAATAGACATCCGCTTTGCGCACGATCCTTCATCGAACGACCTCCAGGCACTTTGGCGTGGGTTGCAGCAACGGCAAGTTGGTGCGGACCCAGGTCCAACCGTGAAGCGGACTGCGCAGTCATGCCCCAGCAAGGCTCTACCCACATGAACGAACGCAGCTCAAGGTCTCATGCAGTGGGGCACCTGACACATGTTGGCTCCCGCTGAGAGAGTGGCAGAGACTTCAGGTGTTCACGCTCTATGTCGAGGCAGGGGTCATTGTGTTGCTACGGGCCGTAGCATGATTTGCGCTTCATGCCTCATTGTTTCGGTCTGCTCACTTGCCTGCAGTACTGCAGCCGTAGGGCTGAAGCTTCATATGCAATATCAGCTACAGCGGATGACAGGAAATTAACTTATGCACTCATTCAGAGCACTGTTTGAAGTTGAAAGTGCAGCGGTGTCCAGCTGTTGAGCACGCTTGGACTGGGAAAGTCTGCCACCTGTTGGCCCGCCGTCTTTGTTCATGGCAAGGAAACAGAATCTCGCCAAGAAGTTTCATCCGACAAACGTGTCTGCAGAGTTGATCCCCACTGATTGCCCAGGCAATGTTCCTTCAGAGCTGCTGTGGCATCCTGCAGGATGACCCTCAGCAGCACGAGCTACGCTGGTTTGAAATTCCACGATCCTTTGAGCCCTGTCGGGCATGTAGCAATTGCACGAAACATGTTCTCTGAGACAAGGGGCGCCGCAGCCACCGTGCACCACTCTCTGGACGGCTGACAGGACCAAGATGCAAAAGTCTATGGTTTGACTTTCGTGGTGTCCTGGTAACATTTGCTAAAGTAACACGCCAAGAGCCAGAGCCCAGATTGGTGGGACTGCCGACAACCACACGGTGAAGCAATTTCCAAGATCCAGAAGCAAGTCCTGGCAGGACGCGGTGGCAAGCGTTCAGGCCCAGCACCTATTCAAGCCTGTCGCTGCTTGAAGTGAGAGCTGCTGTCGTGAGGATCAAAAAACGCAACGCATGTTCCGTTCGGTCCGACGGTCGGTTCGCATCCGAGGCGACGACCAGCGAGGCTCGGAAAGGCGCTTCTCCACAGAGACCAAGGCGGCCCGGCAGACAGCAGAGTCAGAGCTCCGTAGCGGCAGCAGAAGGGAGGGTTTCGGAACTTCGGGTTTTGCGCGCCTCTTAGGAGTATGTGCATAGTGCTTCTTGTCCTGGGCATTGCAAAGCATTGGCCTTGCTGTCATTGCCGACAAATTGCCGATGGTGTCTGACCGCAAAGTTTCAGTTCGCGCGTACGGCGTAGGGCTTCGAGCCGGCCCGCCATGTTATCAGTCCTGTGCGCCCTCTTGCTTTTGCCTTCCCCTTTGTGCAGCGCGGCGAACGAGTCTTTGGCAGCTTTGTCGAGTGACGATGTTCGTCAGCTTCGAGGTTATCGCCCTCTGCAGAAATCTGGCGTGCTGAGATGGAAGAACCACCCATCGAAATGTCTCGATGTCCGTTTTGGCCAAGCCAAGAACGGTAACACCTTGCAGCTCTGGGACTGCAATACGGCATCGTCGAACCAGCAGTTTTCATGGAGCAGCCAGGATGGAAAGCTACGCTGGGCGACGAATCCCACATATTGTGTGGATGTCAGAGACCATAGGAATGCAAACGGCAATCGGTTGCAGCTATGGGAGTGCATCAGGTCCAACTCTGATCAATCTTTCTCTGTTCCAGCATCTGGTGAGGGTCACATCCAGTGGTCAAACCATCCAGACAAGTGTTTAGATGTCCAAGACCATGGTGATTGGAATGGCAACGTCTTTCAGATCTGGTCTTGTGGAGCAAGCAACAGCGACCAGCAGTTTATATTTGGGGGCTCAGAATCGCTGTTGCCTACCGTTCAACCTGAGCAAGAACATCCAGGAGAAGACTTTGATGTAATCGTCGTCGGCGGCGGTCTCATGGGATCAGCCGTTGCAGCTCGGCTGGCAGCCAAACTCTCAGGTTTTCGGGTGGCATTGTTGGAGGCAGGACGAGCGTCACATGCCAGTTTGGGCGGCACAGAGCCCCCGGCATCTTGGGATCGCGCTCAGCGTCGCTGGATAAACTGGGGAGATAATGGAGGCTTACAGGTGACTCGTTACGATTTGCCCGGCAACTACGAGGCCCTGCAGTGCTGGGACAGACGCTGCCCGGAGTCTTGGTTGACGGACGTGCCGTATTTCCAGTGCAAGGTCCTTGGTGGCTGTGGGGTGATGAACGGTGCACTGGTTCAGAGGCCAAATGCTGCAACATGGCCGCCTAGGCAAGTGCATACTACCGGGCATTCTTCGTGGTGGTTCACCTAAACCACGCTTAGACGGCACCAGCAAGGGTAAAAACGGTTTGAGATCTTGTAACTCGCAAAGTTGAGTCTCTGCATGTCTTGCCGAGGAGGGTTGCACCCATACAGAATGCAGAACCCATTTCTTGTGTCTTTGAGGCGAATATGGAGACTTGGCCTTCTGGCTGGAGAATGCCGGATCTGGAGCCCTACTATAAAGAAGCTGAAGCATTGTTCCACATCACAGAGACGCCAAGCCGAGATGGTCGGCACTATCTGGACAACACAGGCGCAGGTTTTGCTCGCAGGGCCCTGGAAAAAGCAGGTTTCGTGCACTCAAGCGATCTGACCAAGAAGGCTGGCTCACTCTGCATCCCGGCCGTCACAGCGAAGGATGGGCTGCGCCAGTCAACTGCCTCGCAGCTCTTGCCCGAGGCTCTCGGACGAGAGAATTTTGAACTGCATCTTGAGACGCACGTTCTGGAGGTCCTGCATGAAGCGGGTGTCGCCAGTGGAGTCCGAGTCAAATCCGAAGGCCGTTCCAAGGTCCTTCGCCTTCGGCCCAATGGTCTTCTGGTCCTTTCTGCAGGAGCCTTGAACACCCCGCGGCTCTTGCTTTCCAGCGGACTTAGATCACAGAGCCTCGGAGAGGATCTTTCGGACCATACCTTGGTCTCTTTGAAGTACCGTGTGCAGCATCGGTCAGCTCTCGGAGCCAACGAGAGCTTCGGCATCAAGCCACCCAGCCCGAGCGCAGTGTGGCAGTATGCGCAGACGAGATCCGGGCCTTTGGCACAGTATGGCCCGGTGCTGACGGCGTTTTTGCGTGATCCATCAACTTCTGGTCCTGCAGATGCGTACGACATCGAGATATGGGTCAACCCCATCAGTGCACAAGGCGAAGTTCACGTAAGTCTTGCGCTGATGCGCCCAACTTGTTCCCGGGCCGCCGTCCACGTGGCCGGCGGTCAGCTGCAGCAGCGCGGCCAGCTCTATTTAGGTTGTGACAGAGACAAGCGGACCATGGCCTTTGCGCTTGAACATGTTGACAAGTGGCTTGGAGCGCAGGGCGCTCAACGCTTTGACGGCCAGTCTCCACCAGAAGCCTTGCACCATTTTGGGGGCAGTTGTGCCTTGGGACGCTGCGTGGACCCGGAGACCCTGAGGCTCAAGGGCACTACGAATCTGGCCGTGGCAGATGCCTCCCTATTGCCAGGGCAAGTCTGGGGCCATCCGTTTATGACTCTGTCTGCCATGGCTCTAAAAGCAGCAGATCACCTCGCAAACTCTTTTGTGTAAGTTTTGGGATTTAGGGGCTCGAAAATTGACAGCCTCATTAGATTTATAGAATTTATAGATGTTTATGGTGCTGCCAAAGAGCAGCCAAGGTAAGGTCAGACCCCGTCTGGCAAGACCGTGATGTAAAGAGATGCACAAGCACACACATCTGTGTACAGTATGGTCTGTGTGAGAGTGCAGACAGGAGAAGGAGGTCTTTACAGCAAGCACAGCTTTGTCGAAATTGCAGATAAAAATTTGGCTATGGCAACGGTTTCCTTTTTGCAAGAGTTGTCGAGCAGTACCGCGTGCCCCGACAGGATCCAGCTGGGCACGCGCAGGATGCCTCAGGCGATGTGGTATTAATGTTGCAGTAGCTTCGCAGCACCGTGGCAGAGTTTGTGATCGAGGCTATCTTCGCGTTAGTGACCCGTCTCAACCGCTGCTGGGTGAGTCCAATCCTCAGTCGACACAGAAAGTCAAGCAAGCCCGTGTGGCCTCAAGCCGCGTCGTCTATGGGCAGGAATGGGAGTGCAGAGACCTCATGGTTGAACCAAGTTTCCAATCAGGTCACAGAGGCCTGGTGGCCAGGCAAGAAGGTTTTAGAGGCTGAGGCTTGGGTTCTTGGCAGGCTTGGGGCATCTACGGCGATGCTGACTTGATGCCTTACCGGAAGAAGATCTTGCAAAAGAGCCCGTGGAAGCCTTAGAGGTCTTTAGACTAGCAGCTAGCATTGCTCCTGAGCTCCGTGTCCGAGGTCCATGGTCGCGACGGGCCAGCGCGGGGCCGTCCGAGCGGCGGAGGAGCTCGGGTGCTGCACCCGAGAGCGGTTTTAGGAAGTGTGAGTGGAGCACAGAATTCTCGCAGCTTTCTTCGGAAGCTCCCGAAGAGGAGTGCCTCAGCACCGGAGATCAGCCACCAGCAGCTGAACCCGGGGAGGAGCTCGTGACAGAGGCCCTGCGCCACAGGGCAAGGGGGATCAGGCACATTTTGTTGTTCTGAGTCTCCATTTAACAGGAGAACATCATGCTCTCCCTTCGAGTGGTTCGTGGCAAGGCTGGCTCTGGCAAACCGCTATGGAGAGTTCTAACAAACGAGACCTGAGTCAAGTGTGCATGTGTTTACATTCTGCCACTGCAGGAGTGGCAGCATGGAGCCTTGGCAGCATTTGCTTCGTGAGGAAGCTTGCGGAGGCTCCAGCCCACCGGAAGAATACGCCTTTATGGTCAGGGCGATCTTCAACTTTGAGCGATCGTTGTGGGGAGTTGGGTTGGCTTCTTGTTCGGTGGACGGGAGGTGGGTGCTAAACTTTGTACACGTGTCATTCGAGCCCGGTTCGTGCCGAAGGTTTGGCCAGCGATGGTGCTGCTACAAATTGCTCTGCAAGCTAGTCCGAGGGTTTCGTCAACATCAATACCAACGTGCTCACTCGCGCAAACACCCACACCTCTGCCATCAATAGCAAGGAGAACGGAGTACCACCGAAGAAGATTTACCGAGACGCATGAAAGACATATCTACACCGGGCATCAACAGACCCGAGCATACGAACAGTACTGTAATACCGCCAAAACCCAGAGCAGAACCCACCAGCTGACCCTTTGACCCCACCACCCCACTCCGGCACTTGTCACCCAGAGAGCAGACTTTCTACTATATGCTCCTTCGAACCATTGCTAGACTCTTTCAGCATGGCGCAACTTAAATGATGAATAGGCTACCTGGAGCAGCTGAAGCTGAACATACTGCCAAGCCAGAAACGACGTGGAAGAAAAAGTTGATGGGACTGCCGGCCTTGGGCTGTCACCTGCAACACCGAGCAGGAAGGCAGTCGCACATCTACAGTATCTACAGGTCTCCAATCACAGGCTCAAGCAACCGGGTTTTCTGTGTGTGTGGGGTGGAGCAACACACGGGCGCGCCTTTTGGGTTCCAGTGAAGCCTCGCGAGGGATGCCAGGTCTCCCACAGCTGCACCAGCGAACCAGGTATACGCAGGTGTGAAGAGGAGACAGGAAGCACGCTGCGCTCTTTCCGCAGTTCAGGTGATGAGGACGGCGGTCCAGGATTTGTGGGCATAGTCCTGTCCTTCGACACCAAACGATTGACGGCGCAGGCCAGTTCCAAGGGTGGGAACTGAAGCTGCCAAATCATTGCAAGTGGGGTTTTTCACCCTTGAACAGGTGCTTTGGGAGCGGACGTGCCACGCGTACTCGCACTACCGCTACGGCACACGTGCCTTATCCCTGAATGCAACGTGAGAGCAGCCTTCTACATGCGGGATCATGCGGGGATGTGTTACTTTGTCCTTCCGCTCTCCAAGCAATTCAGACTCAAATGTCCCGAGGCTATGGCAAGGCTTGGAGCTGTCGGATCTGTGAGATGCTGCATCGTATATTCGTTTTGTCTCACAGAGAATCTCAGCACAGAGGCCAGCGACCTCGCCGTCTTTAAGCCTGCGCTGGGCGTCACCCCGAGCCTGGGCAGGCGGAACTCGCAGGACATGCCTTGCTCTGCTTGCTTCAGGGACTTCGAAGAAGAGATGCTATTGCTGCTTTCTGCGTACTGCAAGAACCGGGACTCCACTGTACACAGTGCAGGAGTTCTTTGCGACAAAGTTCCAGACGATGATCGTGCTCGACTGGGATGACTCGCTGCTGGGCTGCAGAGTTGTGCAGCCCAAGACGGCGTCAGCTTCCAAGTCCAAGGCTCTTCCCCACCTCCTACTTGAGAGACGAGCTACGTCTGTCCTGGATGAAAGCATGGAAAGATCAAAATCTTCCTGCGAGCCTTGCCCGAGCCCAGACCTTTGCGGTGCATCGTGCATACAGCAAAAAACGGGTGACTCCTTGCCCGTTCTGTCTGAGGAAGCTGAAAGATGAGGTGGCTTCCAAATTGGCGATCTGCCAAACCAAGGCGGTAAAGAATCTTACGTTTCTTTCTCTCTCTCTCTCTCTCTCCATGTCTCTCTCCCTCTCTCTCTCTCCGTGTCTCTCTCTCTCTCTCTCTCTCTCTCCCCTCTCTCTCTCTCTCTCCCTCCCTCCCCGTGGTCCCTCTCGCTCTCTCTCGCTCTCTCTCGCTCTCGCTCTCGCTTTCTCTCGCCCGTCTTGAAGTCCGACATGCGCAGCGCAGAAGCAAGTGAAGACATCTCCGAAATTGCGCGAAATCAGAACCTTGAAATACGCCCGGTGGCAGTCATATGTGTTAATTCACATGACTGGGAAACTCCAGGTGGTGGATCTGCTAAAGCAAGCGACGGACGCTGGCAAGGCCGGCCGCTTCTCGCGTTCGGCTCACGATATGCTCACGCAAGTGAATGGCGGAGTCGCCTTAACAGATTCGGCTTCCTTACTTGTTTTGGAGCTCCACCACAGGAGGTGTCAGTACGGAGACATGTCCTTACAACGCTGGCCTCGGACCTCTCATGACTTCTTTTCTTCATTGCTTGTAACTTGTAGCTGCCACAGGTGATCCTTGTGACTCTGGCGCGGAAGCCGTGGGTGCTCGACTCCTGCAGGCCCGCGTTTGAATGACGAAGGTTTTGGTCTTGTGAGCAAATTGGTACTTGCAAGGAACTTCTTCCCCACCGTGGGGCAGGCCATAACGGAGCTCAACGTTCCTTTGCTGAGATGCGCAGAGACATGGCCGGATATTGTGGGCGAAGGAGTTTCGAATCGGTTTCTGATGCTCAGGTGCCAGTGATCTATGCCCAAGACGGCGCTGGTGTGGATTATAATGAGGCTTTGTGACTCTGCGACCTTGATCCTCCTTGTCCAGACCACACCTGCCCTAGGTTCATATGTCTTCCAATGCGGAGCTCGAAAGGTTCTGGAGTGGCATGAAAGCGCGGGCCATTGCCAGGCCTTGCGCCTTGCGCTTTGTGCTCCCTTGAGCACTTCTCTCGGCAGGGAGTGCCGGGAGTTCTACTCGCAGTACGACGGTCAGAGCTGGAAGAACGTCATCTCCATCGGCGGCTTGGCTGTGGCGCCTTCCAGTCGAAGGGACGCTTGTTGGTGTTGAGGTGATTCTGATTTCGAACGCTTGGGCACGATGCTTGCGACGAAGGCCTGGCACGGCTGAGCGCTGAAGCATTTGCACATGTCTCCATGTTCGCTTTCACTGCGCTTCTTGCTGCACATTAGGACTACATGGCTCAGACCGGCATCCAACGTGCCGACAACAGCGACAACTGTGCGGTGGCAGCTCGGCCGTGATTCATATCGCAATTGAAGGTCGCTCCAGAAACAAAATATGAAGCAGGGGATTGTGGGAAGCACTTCTTGAAGTATTGGCCAATGTCCGGTTCGTTCAGAGCGAAGCGGAACACTCAAAAACTCCCAGAAGATGTGACACCGAACATCGCACTTTCGCATGAGATTCCCCCAGTATCTCCGGAAAATCTGTCTTTCCGGCGAAGGTAGTCTCGACTGCCCGACTGCACAGTCCATCGAAACAGTCAATCGAAAGGAGAGCCTCTGATACGGACTCCCTTCCACTCGAGCAAGGGCTTGCTTGGGTTTGCCGCAACCACTCTCAGGTTGACGATCACGTCTACAAGGTGCGCACGCATCTTGAAGCAAGTCAGGATGGAGACAACGGTTCATGCTACAGGTCCATATTATGTACTCAGCGAAGCAATCTGCGAGATGTTTCCGAGGAAGACACTGAAGATGGTGGATCAACCCTCCATTGACGAGCTGAACACTCAGCTGGGCCTTTTGCGCACCTGGCTGCCCTTGATGGCATAGGGCTCAGAGAAGACACGGTGTGGCCAAGTTGCTAACTCACCCCTCCAGCCAAGCCCACCCTCTGTGCCCAGATCAAGCTGGACAGTGACTTTGATCTCAACTTGAACAATGCAGCTGATCCGTCCGCCGTATCCTGAGTCCTGCGTGCAGCGTCCGCTGAATCTGCCTCACGGTAGAGTGTCCTTCTCTAAGACTTTGAAGCACATCACGACAACTCTTTGCGGAACTCATTAATCTCAGCAGGCTGGGGCGACGTGAAACTTTGTAGCACAAGTTCGTGCAGAAAAGACAACATGGCAGGTGTGGCACGGAAAGCAGTGTCCCTCGCCTGAAGCCTGTACACAGATGCGCAGACTCATTCCAAGACTTGCGGAGGTTTTTTTTGTGGAAGCTCGAAGTGCCATCATGTGCCATCCATATTCGTTTGGAATGAGCCAGAATATTCGGAGCCAAACTCCCGACTTGCAGATGGTCCTTCAAAAGGCAGCCTGCGCGTTTCACCTCTTAGGCAGTGTCAATTCGTTGACACTCTACATAGTCTGGGGCCGAGCCCTGATGTTTAGTGACATCTCGCAATTGCACACTTCCCAAAAATCTTTCAGAACGGTAAAGGCAGCGAGGGACAGTGCGAACTCGCCGGCAGGCAGCACGCACACGGGCGGGGGTCACCTCCACACGCGCCAGTCGCTCAGATCTGCTCGGACCCTCGGGGCATCTCGGGGCCTGACAGTCCATGCCCCTTCAGGTAGCAAGCTTGAGCATGGTGGACCTGGCAGGTTCGGAACGTCAGCAGGCCCTTGAATCCACCGACATGTCTCTCCTTGTCTATCCCACAGCCGACAACACATCGTCCTGGCACTTTCTGCCTCTCCTGTGTGCAGCATCTTGGTGACCCTGGGACGAGCATGGTCCAGCCATACGCCTCTCGCTCACAAACCTAAGTGATGCCAGGATTTAGACTTTGCAAAGTTTGCAGCTGGAGGGTGACGTGCCTGTGCACCAAGCTTAGGAAGCTTTGCGGGTCAGAGAAGCCGGTGCCATCAACAAGAGTCCTACACCTACCTTCGTAGTGGGATATGCGTACGAATCATACTTTCGACGGATGGCTAGTTGTGCAAGTCCAGTCAGGTCTGAGTGCGCTGACAAACGTGATCATGTCATTGTCCAGGGAGGAGAGGCTGCTCCTGCCACTGTAATGCACGGTTTTGTGCACATTTAGCGAACTCGCAGATTAGCCTAGTCGATTAGACCGCAGTTTGCAGTTCGGTGCAAGATGGTGCAAGCGATTTTTGTCGAAGGCGTCCTTGAACATTTCGTGTCGCAGGTCACGTAAACGAACTGGCGACGGCCGGCGTGCGGGGCCGAGTCTTTCCGTCGATTGGAGAATGGCCTCCGGAAGCTACCCTTGAGGAAGCAACTATGTCCATTACAGAGACAGCAAGCTGCCCTTCCGACCAACTTCTCTGCTTGCGTGCTGCAGACATTAGCGACTCAAATGCCGAGATGTCAGGACTTTTCTTCTGCGCGATTCTTTGGGCGGAAACTCGAAGACGGCACGACACTTGGACGGGAGTGGAGCAGGTGACTGGTTAAGCGAAAGGTTCATTGCGACAGGGCGGGGAGTCGTCCACGCCACTCGCACCACTCGCGCCACTCGCTGCTCGGCACGGGGCGAGTGCAGGGTGTGGAACAAGTGGAACGGGTGGGGCGCCGGGCGAGGGAACGACTGGAGTGGGTGGCACGAGTGGAACGAGTGGAACGGTTGGAGCGAGTGGAACGAACAAAACAGACCGATTAGCGACACCCAACGCCGACACTCTCGAAAGGTTCTCGTCGCAAACGTCTCGCCTTCGCAGCTGTGCCTCTCCGAGACCTTGTCCACGCGTCTTGGCCCAGAATAGTCCTGTAGATCGAAAATGGCAGTCCCGCGATTGGCTTGGCCAGGTTGAAATTTGCGGCGCGTGCAAAGCACATTCGCTGCACCGTGGTCCGAAACGAGGCGATCTCCTCCGTTTGGCCAGTAGCTGTCGCAGTCCAAAAAGCTTGAGACAGCTGGAGGCCTTTAGTGGCACGGTGGAAAGCCTGATGGAAGAGGCCGCCTCGTGCATACGGAATCCTGGAGTGTGGGACATGCTGTGGAGGTGCAGATACTGCGGAACAAGTTGGCTCAGCTGAGTGGCGCGGGTCCACGAGAGAGCGAACGAGGGCCCAAGAGAGGGGAGATAACCGGGATCCGTGAAGCCAAGATCGAGTAAGGCCGGAGCTTTGACAGAACGCCTGTTCAGTCACAGTCTGGAGCTGAGTGGTGAGCGGAGATGAAGCCGATAGGACCGATAGTCGAAGCGCTGAGGCTCATGTCGCCTGGGAGCATCTCTGAGGGTGTCGAGGTGCGGGAAGCTTGTAAGCGACGTCGGGCCCGGCAGTGCCCAAACAAGGATGAGCCTGAAGCAGAAGACGTGGGTTTCCGAGATGCGGCGAACAACGACCTCGAGGTGCTTTCTTCCCTTTGAAGGTGCCTTTGGAAGCAGCTTCCTCCGGGCTCCGGAGGAGCAGAGCCTCAGCGACCGGCAGCGGATCGCTCGCTTGGAGGCCCGCGGCGGGGGCCCGGGGCCCGCACGTGCGCACTCGTTCGCATCATGTGCGGGGCACCGCACCCCGTTCGCTTCTCGGAGTCCCGGAGGTGCTGCTCTCGGCGGCCTTGGAGCGCGAGGCCTCGGCGGAGCAGCGGCGCTTTCGCCTCAAACGCCTGGCCAACTTCCTCGAGGACTCCGCGGGACTCCGCGTCTTTCTCTCTCTTCTTCTCCGTCTACTTCCCGTCCCCCATCAGGACTTGGATTTCCGCAAGTGCCACCGATTGTACGAGACACAGACAAATCCCATCTCCTCGTTCTTGCCCGTGTCCGCTCCTGAGGCGCAAGCTGCATGCGGAGTATGTCTCTCAACTGGCCCCGCAGGTGGAGGCTTGCTTAGCTTCACTCTTAGAGCGGCTTATATGAGATCATATGGACTTATATAGAGCACCATTTCTAGAAAATTGCCGGGGCGATCCAGCTTGAAGCAGGGTTCGGCCATTGCAGACGACATGGAAGTCCGGGAGTTGTCTGCGAAACTGAAGAGCCCAGACCTCGACAACCTTTGCATGGACTCTCTGCTGGCATTTGTTGCTGTCTGCCGAGGCTTCGGCCACCACCTGGCAAACCTCACGCGAGGCAGAGGGATGTAGAGGGTGGAACGCTGAAGGCCAAGGCCAGGCTCGGTGCTCGGGAGCCGCCAGGTGCTCGACTGGAGGATGGGGCAAGCTCCTCGAAGTTCTGATGTGTGCACACGCCGCTCCACAACGCACATCGCCCCATCGCACCTTTGAGGACTACGGCTACGGTGTCGGAATGGACTCGGATGCACAGTCTACAGTCGCTCCGCATGCAAGTGCATAAGCGGACAGCCGGAGTTTGGGGTCTGTGAGTAAGCACAAGGTGTTGTCACGGGTGGGGTCCAGGGGTAGTTCCCAGAATTGGGGCCCCGTCATTCCAAGGTGGGGGGGGGGGGGTTTCCACCCCCCGCCCTCGCTGTTCAGAACTTGCCCTCACAGCACTCCCCCAACCAAACGTAATGCCGATAGCAATAGTAGTTGTAAGAGTACTAGAGTATGAGCAAGAGCATGTGTGAGAGCAAGAGCAATAGCAAGAGATAGCAAAAGTAGGAGCAAGAGTAAATGTAAGCACAAGAGTAAGAGTCAGAGGAGGCGTAAGCATCAGCGTGAGCGTGTGCATAAGCGTAAGCGTAAGCGCAAGAGTAAGAGTAAGAGTCGTAGTAGTTAGCAATATGGTTAGTGTTCGTCTTCGCATTATCTGTACTGGCAATAGTCGCAGTCATAGTTCTAGCCATGGTCATACAGTCATACGTAGCGTAATCATTGCAAAAGTACCGGTACTAGAAATATTGCAAGAAAGCAATGGGAATACGAATTCGATAGTCACGAAAGCTCTCCCCAGGGAGC